AAAAAAAATAAAAAAATTAAAAAAAATTAATTTTTTGCCTAATAATGTTTAATATGAATAATAAATTAAAACTTATAAGTCCCAATAAATTCATAATTTCGTAGTATTCCTTCAAGCTAACTGTTGATCGCCTTACCTTGCAGAATTATTGATTTTTTAGTCGGCGTGTGTGCATAAAAAAGTGTACAAGGTCAAGTGTGTGTAACTTTCTAGTCCAACGTCACTACTGAGTATGCGCACAACATTTTCCGAAGTGATGACTTAATGTCGACAATGAAGGATAATAGTTTTAAAATTGATTAAAAAAGGCGTAAAATGATGAATTAAGTGGACAAAACGCTAGGACAAAGAGTTGAGATAATTATCTCAATATTTGAAATGATCAAAAAATATTCTGAATGATAACATTTAGCAATGTGTTATTGATTTTCTTTGTCATTAGCTATGAAAATTTTAAGTTTTGAAAAATAATTGTTAGTATGCTTGTACTAAAAAATTTTGAGCGCACCCCATTTACTTATGTTTTATTGATGTTCGTTTGTTCTTAGTCCTGCAAAATTTTAATAATAAAGAAATTTAGTACACTTGTACCAAATAGGCGAGTAGCAATTATTTACATGTTATTGATTAGCTCATTGGCTTTGAAAAATTTAAATATTAAAAAAAGGACATTTGTTCTAAAACAACTATTACCGAATAATATTTACCTATGTTTCATTGATTTTGGTTTGTCAATAGCTTTGAAAATTGGAAATTTTAAATATTACAAAAAAAAAAAGTAGTACATTTCTACTAAAAAGCTTTTGGCGTGTAACATTTATCTATATACTATTTGTTGTTGATTTTTGTTTCGCCAGTTACGAATTGAATAGCTGTAAAATTTTGAAATATTTCCAACAAAAAAAAAAAAAAAACAAAAAAAAATGTGTCACTTGTACTAAAAATTTGAGCGCAGGCAGCGTTTCTTTGTTCATATATTATTAATCTTTGTTTTGCCAGTTACCTGTCCAATAGTTTTGAAAGTTATTTTATTTTATTATTTTTAAACTTTACAAAAAAAATTAGTACACTTGTAACAAAAAATTTTCTGGGAGTAATAATTATCTATACTTTATTGAGTTTCGTTTGTTATTAGTTTTGCAAAAATTTTATTTAATAAAAATTTTTAAACATTAGTACACTTGTATTAAAATTTTTTTCCCGAGATGTCGTTCAGTGTTGCAGTTTTCACATTTTATTTAATTTCTCATTTTGATACTAAGTTTATAATGCTCTGACGGATTTTTGTACTAAGACTTAAGAAGAATATACGTTAGTACTAAATTAGTACTAAGTTTGTTTGCAGAACAATATGTCAATCGTATTTATAAGTGCTCAACACCACAAAAATTTATTTTAATTATTGAGATATCAATTTATGATATTTTTAGTACATTTTTCTTCATTAGTTTCCCCATTTTTCTTGAATAAAAGAAACCTCGACGTTAACTTCTATATAACTACATTTTTTAAAAATAGTTGCGGTGTTTCATAGACTTTTACAAACATGAAGCAAAAAGGGTTTCAAAAAGTTTTTAGTACATATCATTAGTACAAATATTCCAAGAGTTTCATCGACTTAAAAAAAATATATACTTAGTTTTATTAGTACCAAAATTCCAGTTTGGAATATACACACTATATATTAATATTATATATGGTGAATGACAGAGTTGAGAATGAGTTCTGCATGCCTTAGCTGTCTTCTAAAGACAGTTTAGTACAAATTTAGTACAACTTGCCAAAAAAAAAAAAAAAAAAAAAAAAAAAAAAAAAAAAAAAAAAAAATGTCGTCAACGTTGCACAAATATTTATGGATTAGAAAAATATCTATATATAATATAATATATAATATTATTGCCCTGAACATATTTTTGGCTTCATTGTACTAAAACCTTTCTGAAAAAAATCAGACCTTATTATTTTCATTGCCAACTTCGTAACTTTATTTTCAGTACACATTTTTAGTACCAAAGATTATTAGTTCTTTTTATTGAGTTCTTTAAGAACAACAGCATTAAACTATTTTAATATTTAAAGGCTTAAAACTAAAAAAATTTTAGTACTCAGTACTAAAAGTTTTCTACAATAAATCTAAAACAAAGTATTTAGGTATTTAATACCAAGTTTTATAAAGCTATATATGTAGCTTAAGAGTTTTGGAAGAAGTTTTGAATGAAATGCCTTACTTTTTTATAAAATTTTTAGCACAAGTATTGGTTACTTGGGTATGAATTTTTATTAGCTCAAATTTTTTAATTTTTTTGCCAGTTTCTAGTACATATTTTAGTAGTTTTTTCGAATGCTCATATTTTTCCACTTTTTAAAGAGCTTAAGTACACTTACATATAATTATAATAGCTTTGCATACTCGCATAAAGCATTAGATTAAAAACTAGATTTGCATTTCATATAACAAAATTTAATTGAAATTTATTTCCTTTATAACATTTTAGCATCCCTCAAGAGCTTGGGCGACAAGACCGCCAACCTTTTCAGCCGCAAGAAGGAAGATGTTGAGAAACTGGCTAAGGAGAAAGCCGACAATGCCGCCAAAATGGCTGAGGAACAGGCTAAGGCTGTAGGACAATCGGTGCAACAGACCAAGAGTGAAGCGGAGAACTTAGCGGCCAGTGCTGGTGAGTTGCTTGCGAAGTTCGAGAAGAGTGTGAGAAGAGCATATTAAATAATAAAAAAATATGAAGCAAAATTAAATAAGTAAATTAGGCAATTTTTATTAAAAAAAAAAAAAAAAACACTTTCAACGACATTTGATAGATTTTATATTTTTCTTCCACACGAACTTAAAAGCTTTATTAAGCTTCCGAAAGCTTCTTTTTTTTTAATTAATAAAGCTTCCCATAAGCTTTCTTTGACTCTGTTAACTCCATCATTTTCTTTACAGCCAAGGAAGCCGCCGATTTGGCCGCTGCTGAAGCACAAAAGGCTGGTCAGGCTGTCAATGCTGGCGTGAGCCAAGCTCAAGCCGCCGTTGACAACTCGAAACATGCCATCGATAACACTGTGCAACAAGCCAATGCTGTGGCCGCAAATGCTAAGCAAGTGGCCGCCAACGTGGCTGAGGCTTCACAGAAGGTGAGTGGCGTTGTTTGTGGTAACACTCAAAGTAAATAAAGAGAAAATTAGAAAATAATTTTGAAATACTAAGTACATGCGGTGTATAAAAGCAAGTTGTGTTAAATTTTATGAAGCTAAATATTTTTGAACGGTTTGAGTGATAAATTTGTAGTACTTAACTTAAGTAGTAGTATATTGTAGGTAAAAAAAGTATAGTAAACTTTTAGTGCGTTTTGTTACTAATTAAAGAACTAAAAACTGAGTACTAAAAATATTGAAAACATTTACTAAATTTATAGTACTAAGTTTTTTAGTACTAAAATAAATTACTGTTTTCAATATTTTTAGTACTAAGTTTATAGTATTGTAATTTTAAATTAAATTATTAAGTTTCCAGTATTAAAATGTTTGCTAAAATGATTTTTAGTTTTAAAACCATATATACGTATAAACCGTATAAACGGTTTTTGCACGAAATTTTTAGTACAAGGTTTCAGTACTAAATTACTTTGGTACTAATATTTTACTGTTAATTTTTTTTTGGTACAGAAATTTGTATGTACTAAAACTCTATTTCTTAACATTCTAAACAAAACAGTATTGTCCTACAATTTTTGTCGCTAAATGTTTCCGTACTGAAAATTTTACTACTATTTTTTAAAGTACTAAAATTTGAAAATTTGATTTTAGTACTAAATGTTTTAAAAATTATTTAACAACAAGGTTTCAAATAACGATTTTATCAATTTTAGGGCAGACAATAAGTTTTAGTACACAAGCAATAGTTTTTGTACGATAAAGACTTTTTAAGTACTAAAAAATTTTAGTAATAAAGTTTTTAAATACAAAAATTTTATTTATTAACATATTTAATGGCAAAAGTGTTCTACTAAAATATTTCATTAATGAAAATTATGCTACTAATTTTTGTAGTACTAAAATTTTTAGAGCTAAAGTTTTTAAGTTAAGTACTTAGTTACTAGTTTTACTAATTTATATTTTTGATGCGAAAGTGATGTACTACAGTTTTTGTTTTTTGTTTTTAGTACTCAAAATTTGCTACCATCAATTTCAATACTAAAATTTTAATAATCGATTTCAGTACTAAATTTTTACAAAAATAGTCAAAATAGCCAAATTTTATACAAAAGTGTAATAAATTTGAAGGCAGCAAATAATTTTTGGAGAATTTTTTAAAGTAGAGCCTTTTTAAGTACTCAATATGGAAAATTGCCAAATTTGTACTAAAATTTAGAGTTTCTTAGTTTTTAGTACTAAAAATTTTGCCACTAAATTTTTTAGTACTAAAGTTTAACGTTCAATCGAAATTACAAAAATTTTAAGTCAACTCGTCAATTTTAGGACAGAAAATACTCTTTAGAACAGTTTTTGTAATGTAAAGATTCAAAAAAATTAATTATGTAAAATTCGTTAAAATATTTGAGAGCTTTCTTTTTGATAAAACGCTACATTTTCTCTCTCTCTTTCCCAGGCTGCTGCCAACGCCGTCGATCAAACCAAAAAGGCCGCCAACGATGCGATCAATAAGAGTGTCAAGGCTGCCGAACAGACAGTCGAGACGAAAATGAAGGAAGCCGAGAACGCTATCGATGGCGCTGTAAAGCAAACTAGCCAAGCAGTTGATCAGAAGATGAACGAGGCCAATCAATATGTCAGTCATAAGCGTGAGGATTTGGAGAAGGTATGTAGAAATGTGCTTTGAGGTCAATAAAAATAATGCATTATAAAATATATACCCACACAGACCCTCCATGACGGCGCAGTGAACGCACAAGAGTCCGCCGGCAATCAGGCTGCCAATCTGCTCGGCAAACTCCACATCGGCAAGTAGAGCGGAACGCAAGCAATTTTATTTTTTATATGACGGCAAGTAGAAAGGAGTGCGGAGTACAAGAATTGGCAGTACGGAGAGTTGGATAGAAGGCGTTAGAAGTTTAGTTATATAATTTGTAATATGTAGCAGTTTTTAATTAAGCAGAAAAAAGAAAATGAAGAAAATATAATATAAAATATAAGAAGAAAGTCCGCTACTTACAAGCAAGCACTAAAAACCAATAAAAATTGAGTTGAGTAAATACCAAAATTTACAAAGAAATTTTTAGCTCAAGTAAAGTTTGTTAAATAGCGCGCTAAAATAGTTAGAAACCTGCAGCGTTTGAGGTTTGAAGCGCGCACAGCCTGAGAGATATTCTGAAATTTTACAAAAAAAAAAGAAGAGGAAAATCTAGTAACAAGTGCCAGTTTTGTGATCGTAAAGCCGAAAGATATTTTTCAAAAATGCCTACATTGTTAAATATATGGAAAACACATATTTACAGTTATAAAAATAGTGAACATCAACTGTAAAGATTTCATTAAACTAATTACAAGAAAAAATATTTCAATACTTACACTGAAAAATGGGAATTATATATGTATATACATAAATACAACAAGCACTGCTCCTTAATTAGCAATTGAACAAAACCAAAAACAAAAAAAAAAAGAAAGATAGTTATGAAAAATTTTAATTTTAAATGTGCGAAAGCTAAGCTGTCCATATACATATGTGTGTAGGTCACGTACCAAATAAAATAAAAAATATTGAAACAAATTCGAACTCAAATATTTTGCCAGAAAATCAAAACTGAATGTTTTCGAATTGAATAAAAAAATGTAATATTGAAATTTAAAGCTAAAGCTGCTTTTGGAAATTTTGTATTTAAAAATTAAAAAATTTTTTTCAATAGTTTTTTTTTATATAAAATCTTGGAGCTAAAGCTATTTTTGACCACTTTTGTATTTAAAACAAATCAAGAAAATGTCTTTCAAAATTCTGTTTTTCAAAACTTATTTTCGAAAATAAAATTAATGGAAAATAACTAAAGCCATTTTACCATTTTTGTATTAAAATAAAGCAAAAAAATTAAAAATATTGTTTCAAAATTTGCTTTCAAAACTTATTTTTGAAAATACATTTAATTGATTATAGCTAAAGCTTTGTTAATATTTTTGTATTCCCACATTTCAAAAAAAAATTCTGTTTCAAAATTCGTTTTTCAAATCTTATTTTCGAAAATACATTTAATTGATAATAGCTAAAGCTTTGTTAATATTTTTGTATTCCCACATTTCAAAAAAAAAATTCTGTTTCAAAATTCGTTTTTCAAATCTTATTTTCGAAAATGAATTTAATGCGCATTATGGACACAAAACCGCTATGAATCTCCAAAAATCTAAATAAGTGCTCGAACAAAGTCAAATTACTCGAATGAAGCCTTGCGCTTAAGCATAAAAAATCGCTTAAGCAAATACAACAAATAAACTCAGTGTAGCAACTTGCGCTTAACAACAGCTGATCACAATTTCAATTTGCACACGCACACACACGTCGTAACTTTTTCTTCCAATTCATTTTCTTTTTTCTTCGTTCTTGTGAAATTCTACTAGTATGTAGTTTATTTTGTACATTATATATATTTACGAATTTCTTTTGTATTAAAAAAAATTATATATATATACTATATAAAAACAACAACAGTGAACACAGCGCATAAAATGATATTAAAAGCAAGAATATATATTTTAAATGTAAAATTAAATATTAAAGAGCCATTAATATTGTATTGTGAAAAATTATTAATAAAAAAAAAAAATTAAAAAAATCTAAAAACCAAAATAAGAACGGTGTACAGGTTAATGGAGTTAAAACTACAAGTTCGAAATAAGAATGCCAAGCGGAAAGGCAGAAGGCTGTCTTGAACATAGAAAGTTCAGGCACATCCTCTCAAATAACCAATTTCCTTTGGGGTATGATTCCCACCTGAACTCTAAGTAGTCACTTAAGTTGCTCCTGGATGATCACATTTTGAGCAATCTTACACAATAGGTAATAATTGGAGGGCTAGATATAGACTGTACATCATTTTCGAATCTTTTGAGTGAACCTCCCTGACATGAGCGATCTTGGAAACCGAAACTTAAGTATCTTATCTTAAAATTTCTTTGCAATAGAACGACGTAGCGCCACGGTTGAGGGGAAATTCTGAATATCGTGTACGTGCTATCCTTCCAGCTATAGTAGATGCTAAGTGAGGGTACAGCATCGTATGCAACTAGGCTGTTGAAAACGAGCTGGCTCTCCATCAATCCCAGAAAAACTGAACTAGTCTAATTTAACATGGAAGTTCAAAATACCGGAGGCGAAACTATCATGAGTAGGCATCTTCGACCTGTTAACAAAGTTAAGTGGGTAGAATTCATCCTGGATATGAAGCTCTCAAGGAAACCCAACATCAATGTGTGCTACATATAACATCGGTGGTTATAGTTGCAAGTTACATGGCCGCGAAGCCGCCCTTAGACCTATAGAATATAGTTACTTAGATGACTGCGAGTCTGTCACTCTCTTCGCTCTCAGCAAGGGTCAAGTTTCAGTGGTAAGTCTGAATATCTTACCGGATGCAAGCTGCATCAGCTGTTGGGAACAAGGCGTATATACCTCCGATCTCATACTTTCAGAGAACGTTTTAGTGCCTCTATTATGCGATAGTCATAAAAACAGGTGGAATCGTGAGAGTGTGATAAAGTCTGATGACACACAGTTCATGTCGACAACATTTTTTAAACCATGTTAAATTTGGCATTGGAAACTTGAAAATTATTGTTTGGATTGAAGCTATCTTATAAATTTTGAAGTTGTAGGGTTTTGAATTTTGAATTAAAATATCTCATAAAGCTTCTCCGACAAGAAGGAGAACAAGCTATAACTTTTAATTGGGGTCACTATTTAGAAATACCGGATCGTCTTTATCGTAATTTCTTACGGGTTGGGTATCTTAATTGCAAACTTTGGTCTATCTTCTGTGAGCCTGTTCTGAAATTACGTGATTTCAGTTACTTATATAATAGTGAGGAAGGGATTGAATATCGCGGTACCATTCCACCGCCACTTTTCTTTCTTATTATAATGACGGACAGTTCGCCATATGCCGGAAACTACCTTATCAAAATATTCTCAGGTAGCGCTTAAGTTGGAAATAAAGAGAGTAGAATTCTGAGAATGCCTTCCAACAACTAAGCCGATAAAAAAAAAACTTCTTGTGTACATTATTTCCTTACTGATAAAGAACCTGTAGTTTATTTGGAATATTTCTCATACCCATATGATAAATGACTCGATAACACCGTCCTGAGAAAACTAGATTAATTTTTTTTTACTAACAAACTATAATTCAACGTCTATATAATGGATACTTTTTAGCTGTGTGGTTGTCCATTAAGGAATACTTTCTTCGGAGTTCGTTTTTTGGAGAGCTGTTACTTGATATAAAATCAGTTTGGTTTGCCATTTCATAATGAAGGAATACGTAGAACAGTAAAAGCCATGCCCATCCATCTATAAAATATTAGAAAGAGGATCTCGATTGTCGGGCTTACAAAATCTAATTCTTGCAAGATTTTAATTGTCAAATTTGGAGTGATGATAATCCACAAGCCATTGTTGAGACGTCGTTCTATCCCTAAAAGGTATCTGTTCAGTGTCCTTTAGTCCATATTTATTCAAGAATTAAGCCAGCTATAATGTAAAAATCAATGAGGAACGCAGTAGAGGCATGATTTATGACTATTTCGTACCTTAATTTAAGTATGACAAACTTTGGTTCCAGCAAGTCGGCGCTATATTAAATACATCCATATATAGATATAAGCTGACCTATATTTTAAGTTGGATCAAACTGGACGCAGTATGCTAAATTTTATGAGAGTTGTTCCATAGTTGAGGATTTTAGCAAGGACAAACTGGTAAATTTTATATTTATATTTTTTCAATGCAAGCACTACCATTCGCGCCGCCACTGTACCCAAAGAGTATTCATAACTTTTCTGTTGCCATAGCATAGAATAGAAAAAACTGTGCTTGCATATTGCATAGTTATAGGCGCCGCAGGGCAAATAACATGCCAGCAAGAGGTGGTAGTGTTGTTGTTGTGGCATTGACATCTAATAATCGCTTATCACTTGCTATCTGAAATTGAAATCGGGACTGTGTGGCAGTTCAGAAATTTAATAATTTTTTTTTGTGCTTTTAATTCCGTTATAAAATATATGACAGCAGGTGAAAGGTGCGAATGGGTCGCGAGCAAGCATTTAATTGGTATATTGGAAAATAGAAGGCTAAAAAAAGAGAATAAGATTAGAGGGAAGGTTTTTTGTGATTAAAAGTTAAGAGTTTTCATAAAAAAATTTAATTTGAGAAGTGTTAAGAAGAAAACAGGAAGCCTACATTTTAGCGCGCTTGAACAACTTATGTAATACATTGAGAGTGCTCAGCAAGCATTTTATTATAAATTTTTCAATTTTTCATTTAGCGTCTTTTATTTATTATCACTTCATACACATTTTTCATCTAAAATACATTACAATTACCTGTTTCAGCACATTAATGTACTTCGTGCCACTCACCCAGAAAGTGTGCTGCACTGTTACTGCACTACTGCGAAATAAATTGCTTCCTCAACTGCAGCTTATTTGCTTTAGTTTACTTTTAGGCGAACAATAAGTTTTTCAAAGTAGTTGCAAAGTAGGACAGCTCAAGTGAGGTAAATAAATATCTGCTTCATCGGATGCATTGACTTTCATCTCATTGGCAGTTTAATTACTCTTCACTGTCACCTCAGCGGTACGTCGTTCACTTGCCACATGTTCTCTACTGATGTTATTGGGACTCCTGTTGCACCGTTTGATGGCAACTAAATGAGTAAACTTTGCTGCAGCAAGTTGTGTTAAGCATGTGATTTTGATTTTTAAAGAGGAGCTTTTGTCAGCAGGTGCATTATCATGGTGAAAAAACACTATTTTCTTCGTAAAATGGAAATCAGGTAGACTCCAGCAAACTCAGTTAGATTGATAATTCGGCGGTCTGCCAGTATGATAATTGTGAATTTCGAATCTATAATCCATAATGTATAATGTCTAATCTATAATCTACAATCTATAATCTATAATCTATAATCTATAATTTATAATCCATCAGACATAAGGATA